CCCACGTCGTTGTTCCTGGGTAGCGCTAAGAGTAGTTCATCAATGACTTTGATGGTCCATAACTCGGACCCCAGTGGGCGGATTGTGGACCACAACCAGTGTTTCGTAAAGGGCTTGAAACCAGCTTTCTCATCCCATGGTGAAAAACTAGGGGTTCCATTTAAAAAAACCATCGTGACCCCTGAATGACCTTCAAAATGACCTTCCAAGGATTTTTCAAGGTCAGTACCATACTTCCCCCGTGTAACCCTAAACTTTTCATACGAAACATTTTTCTCTATCCCTACTAGTTTTCGAGATATTTGACTGGATCACTTCAGATGGTCTACCCTGTATATAATATATACCTATACATATATTATATATTATTTAATTTGACGGTAATTTGCTTGGTAAATTATGGTAAATTATCTGGTAATTTTGGAGTGCTAATAAAATGACAAATTAAAAAAATTGTTTAAATATAAAAAAATTTGATATGCAACTCAGAAAGAGCATTTATAATTGTTAAGTCGAGTAAACCCTTTATCTAACTCATATTTTCTACAAAATGTTTTAATACTACATGTATCAGGAGATATAATAGTGTGTCGGCGCTAAGCAAGCGCAGCGACATTCTCGTGTTCCTTTTATTGATATACTGTGTGCGCGCGCGCGTGTATGTGTGTGTGTGTGTGTGTATGTGTGTGTGTGTACATGTATATACAGGATGGGACAGTAACTCTGTTTACTTAAAATATTTCCGCTATTTTTAGAGATATGAAATATGTTTATTGGAGTTTTATAGCATCAAGAGGGGTACAATATAATACTAATAGTTTTTCTATAGGTGGAGGTGCTTCAGAGATTTCAAGGTCATCTCCACTTTTTAAAATAGAATTGTACGATTTTTTTATACAATATGATTCCTCTAATTATTCTGCATATAAAAGTATTAAGGTAATGATATAAAAAACCAATAGTTTTATATACGATTTTTCGTACGATCGTTCGGGTGCCTTACATTGGGGAAGCGATTACGATATAATTCTGCAGCTTGTACATAATTACCTC